GCATACTTCAAAAGCAATTCTTCTTTTTTGTTCATGAATATGGATTTGCCTCAGCAGCGAGCATAAAGACTTTAATAACAAAGAATTAGAGATGCACAGGGAGAAAGTTCGAAAGCGAGACTATCAGATTCATTTTGCGATAAAGCTAAACGTCCTTAGAGGACAGCTTTTAAACCTAATAACTCCCGCAATATTCCAATTTTTTTAATTTGCGCTTTAGGACTTTTCTTACCAAAATTCTGTGATTTTATTAAAATAAATATTTTAATAAAAAAATTTTTAATACGATAAAAATGAAATAGCATCACAATCTGTTTGTATTTTTCAAAATCACTCATATAACATTAAAGCATTCAAATGATTAAGCAAAAATTAAACGCAAAATTCGCAGGTGTAATATCTTCACAAATTTTAAAACGTGTATTTGTGAATGTTTGTTTTGTGCGTCGTCAAATTATACGGATTTTAAACACGATATCTCTTCAAGCATGGATAAAATAACAGCGGTTATATCCGTATCTCTTGTGCGAGCTCTCTACAATTATCGATTCATGTCATGTTAATATATCAGACGAATCGTTCGTTACCCGAAATTACGAATTCGCAATGTCATTGACGCTCGAACAAATTCCGTTCGTTCGGTTTAATTTCCCGGACGATGCTGACAAAATTTATTTCACCCGTAATTACGTCTGTCGTTCCGCTTCGTGTTTATTAATGCCGACTTACACGCGCGTGCGGCGATGATAATGACGCTATGCGCCGCTTATATGTGAACCGGTAAATTTATCCGGTGAATTTCTGTTCTGGTATCAAAAGCCGTCCTAAAGTACCATGACAACCGGCTCGGCTCCCCTCCTGAATATTGCCCGCGGGTTGACACGTCAGAACCGGGAAAGCACCGACAGAGAATGACGGCGCGGTGGTCTGCAGATGACACTGACCGATGAAATTAGCAAGTCTCGCGCGAAAGTCATGAACCTTAAAATTTAAAATTCGACGTATATTAAATTTATAAGCATACAGAGAAGTTACGTAAGATACCTATGAGAAATTGGGATAAGAGACACCTTTTTTTGTGTATCGATGTAGCATTGAGAATTAAAATAACCGAATTAAAAGTAGCGGAAGCTTGTATTAGATTTTTTCTAATTGTCTATAATTATGTCAATTGCAATAAAGTACAGATAATTAGCATTATTAATTTTTGGATAATTTTTTTTCGAGAGCGAAGATTAGAGAATAAAATTAAAGATTGTATCAGCATGTATCAGCATGGATGATGATTTTCTTTAGAAGACATAATTCTTAGCTAGGATCAAACGGAATAGCTGAAATGTTTGTCATCGTGGCAAATGTCGTGATGAATACTTTTGAAACTATTTGGCACTGACTCTAGTCTGTCCAATATTAATTTCGGTGAAAAGTGAGAAAGTTTCGTAAACTATATAATAATGTTGCATATTATCTGACTTTCTAAATTTACAGTCTTTCATCTTGTCAAACTAATATGAAATTTGATATGATTTGGTGACGTGATATATTATTCCTCTTCAATTCTTTCGTATTCTTACGTGTAATATCTCAATCGATTAAATTTATCAAGAATAGATATCAAAGTTGACCAAAAAATTACATTCGATAAAGCACATATAGTTTAGAAATAAAATGAGCAAAATTAATCTGGCGAACGGTGTCGCCTCAAAGTTCGTAACAAATGTATAACGCCACCAGCACGAAAATCCACGTGCCAAGATTCTATTTCTGCGATCCATTCAGGCGAGAATATATACTCCGTATGCTGCTTCTTTAAAAACAATTCGCGAACATGACTATTCATGAATAGCTTCGGGTTTCAAACCCGATATAATTGGAGAAACGGATAAATGGCTGAAGTGCGATCAATCCAGTGACTCCGACAAAGCAATAAAAAAAATATATATATATATATGATAAAATATATCATGGCTTTAAAAAGAAGATCGGGTTTAAAAGGGAAATATCAGGTTTAAAGAGAAAGGCTAAATGTGTCAACTACGCCCCTGCAGGTTATCAGCTTGTAATAGCGTATTAACGCCTTTAGATAATCGATATAGTCGCGCTTTATCATCTTAGACGCGCCAACGTCTCTATATAACGTCGATTTTCTTTCAAGCCTGTCATTAAGGCTTCCGCGTTATTACGCTCTAATCGTTCGCTATTTACGTTTACCCCCACGGCTGAAAATCATTTTAGCTCGCAAATCGAAAGCGTTTTGCGGATCCGCGGATGTGTGAGCGCGAGCGGCGCGCGCGTGAGACAACGAACGTAGCAATTTGCTCTCGCTCTTCGAGTCTAGAGGGAAATCACTTGGTCGTGTAGGTATATCCCCCGTGTTGTGTCTATATTGCGGGGGAGAGGTCGCCCGTAATAACAACGACGCGCTAATGGTAGAGGAGGTGGTGTATCTGCGATGAGTATGCGGTGCTTAATATGATTGACAGCACGAACTAGTAATTATCTGTCGAGATGCTTTCGCGCGCGCGCGCGCGCGCGCGCGTAGCGCGTAAGGCTTTAATGCGATAATGTGCACAACGACGTTTATCGTAACGCACTTTAAGAGGCTGCAATTATTTAAGTTACGCGCAAATTGCTAATGCGTATATACGGTGGAATAACGCGCGGGGAATGAACGAACGATTAGATCAGAATGCGAACAATTTAGAGAGCCGGAACAAATGTGGGTTTATTCCAGAGATGACATCAATTCAATTGCGAAGTGAATTTCAACTTGAAATGCATGCATGCGACATGCCGTCATTACGAAAGAAGATCCACGAATAGCTGAAGACGTGTAATATTATGAGAAAAAAAATATCTAAATATAATACGAAAGGTTTAAATATAAATTGCTAATAATTTCCTCTTTAAGGCTCATATTTATAGACGTTGCATCTCAAATGTATCAGATGAGATGCTAAATACATGTGACAACTAAACATTTTTTATCCATCTTTTACATGTAAAATTATTCAAAAATTGTGTACAATTACTTTCTTATATCAACGTATAGAATATGTAATTCTGGAAGCACGTAGATTAATCGTACAAATTTTGAAATTTTATCTAAATTTCAAAGTTTATTTAAAAGACATTTATGAAAGAGAAAATAAAAAAAGTCACGACTAAATTAATAATCTTCCCCTCGCGTTTTATAGATAATTTATTTTTATTTCATACAAATATATACACAGAGTACAGAAATACTCCATTCTTCATTATCCATGAAATTTTAACACGAAAGAAAAAGTACGAAGCTCTAATACCCGTGAATCTCCAATTAGTCGCAAATTAATCGTTAATCGTTCGTAAGAAATAATCGCATTTGGCATGTTTTGATACTCGACGCGATCGCGGAAGTTAATTAATCGCGCGGATTAAAGTTTCAATCGCTTGTAGGAAATAATCGCGTTTCGATGAACAATTCGGCAACACGTGAGGGAGCCGAACTCATCAAATCTCACCGCGCGAATGATAACACGGCGCGTGGCGCTTCCAAAACAAACACCAAGGTCGGCCCCGCGAAGTGTGTTCAACATCCTACAAAGTTATACGAATTCTCTTTCTTCTATTACAAATTGATTTCGTTATGTGAACAGTTACAGCGCGTACATTTTGCGCTCTTCGTTTTGTTGACTCATCAACGTCGCCTAAGATAACAATTAATTCTGTTCAATAGAGAGAACGTTTTGAAAGATATTGTTACTCGAAACCTGAAATTGACGAGAGAATCTGTATCAATCTAATTGAAATTTGTAATAATTTGACACTGACAATCGTGTAATAATTGTAAATTAACGAAAACTAACTGATTCGTAATTAAATTTGCACTGTGTATTACTGATATTAAATTCTAACTGCTGTACACGAATTATTTTTCTTTTGATGACAATTTATATGGTTGATTACACAATTTCAATAATGCATTTAAAAAGCAATTGAAATTATTTTAAAAACAATTATTGAATCCGTTTGGAGAATAAAATTTATCTTCCACATCATTTCGCGTTTCAACTGAACAATTAATTTATATATAAATTAATTTAGTACTATTTCATTCGGAATTTTATGAGAAATAAAATTGTCGAAATTTAAATAATTATCATATTTTAATAAATCGAAATAATTATATTAAATCGCAAAAAAATGTTGGAACTTGACCTTGTTCATAACTTATTAAAATCATGCAATTTATTTTTAAGAAAAATATAAGAAAATAGAAAAAGAATTAACTACATACAATATCGATCAATTATTCCTCAAATAAATATTTAATTTAGTATGTCAATGATACGCGCGCGTGCCCACTTATCGCTGACATGCCATATCGAGTATGGAAAAGATAAATTTCAAATAAGCTATCTATAATAAAATCAATTTGCAATACAAGAAAAGTATCTCATCCAGCGTTATCTTTCAAGGCACAAAAATGTCATAATAAAGAACAGTATTTTATAATTCTTAATTTTAATGCTTCAAAAATCTATTCTTTAAATTCATCTCAGAACAATCGTTCTCAAGTCACTTCTGAAAAAATGTGTAAAAAATTATGTAATATTAATATATATCTGTTAAAAAAAAATCGATCATTGAAGAGTGAAAAATAAAATTCAGACTGTCTCAAGACAAATCTCATCAAAATTACTTAAATGAATTACAATTGCAATTTGGACTTAATTAATATCGACATTATTCTTAAAATCTCTTTACCATCTCTAAACTATATCATGTCTCAAAACTTGTTTCAGTTGAGTGATTCAACAAAAACAGCTATAAATAAAACAGGGCCTAAGACAGTGTCAATGTGGAAAAAAATAACACAGATTCGTGCAAAACGAAGACAAATAGTTAATATGAAACGACTTCGCAACGTTTTTGCGAGTTTTTTTTTGCGTATTGCAAACATTGACATAAAATGTGAAATCGCCTCGCGTTCTTAACCCGTTTAAATGGTAAATTACCTTTCAAGTTGCAGGTCGATATAGAACCGGAAAGAGTCCTGGCGTGATTGGTTACGGCCAGCAGCAAAGGTGTGGCCGTGATGTGAAAAGACTTCGATTTCGGCAAAAACTGTTTTTGCACCGTATAACTGCGAGTTCGCCGCCGAAATCTCGGCGAGTCGAGGAAGCTGTCGTCGTACTGCGGCATTTTATGACGCGAAGCACCGCAATTGAGTCTCTTTCAAACTGGACCTGGCGTCGCTGTTAATGGCGCGAACTCGCCACTCGACCGCGAATTGCATTTTTTAATACGTTTCTTTTCTGTCATAATTCACTTTCGCTGTTCAAATTTCACTTTCACTATTCGGGATATCGCACGTAGATAATCATTACATCTCCTAAATTTGAATCGTAAAATTAGAAAGAAATGCTACAAGCGACGTTCGTTTATACAATATTTATAGAAACCCGACGTTAACAACTTTTCTGGGAAAACAATTTTGCATCGCGCACCAACAGAAAGATACTCGTGCAATTTTTAAGTGGCGATCTATGTCTTTTCTTTCCCTTTTTCACCGAGAAACGGATACGTTATGTGTTTAATTGAGCTTACGGAAAAACGAAAGAGACACGATTTTTTTTACGAATACACTGAACTGTATCAAATGACAGCAAGACTGCGGTTATCGATAGACAATATCGAGGATCACAAGCTTGAGTGACTCCGAATGCATTGTACCGTGGTCAATATCGCCCCATAAAAATACCGCTCGCGACAAGCGGTTTCTATCAGAAACGGATAATCGACTCGCGAAAGGTAATTTGTTTTACTATCCCCAGAAGACTCATGTCTGGATGTACACGACCTATCATCCACGTGTCTCTCAATCAAACCTCGGTAATGCCGAGGCATCGAATAATCGATCGAAAATGATTGAAATAGCGAGAATTTCGAAAGAAGGAATCACATGGCTGAAATAATGTTTTATATATAAAAATTAATCCGAACTATTTTTCGCAGTCGTTAATACGAACGTCCGAAGCCGGATTCAGATCAGACAAAATGAGCGCGAAAAGAAACGCAAATAGACTCGCTTCGCGACATCGTTCGCGACTCGTTGAGCAAGTCACTCGCGTTTACTCGCTCTCGTTTGCTCGGTCTGAATCAATTTTAAAAGATACTTAATGAATCTGTTATAACAACGCCGACGTTATCGCCGCCCCGATAATCCTGATCGAGCGTAAAGCCGGCGGCGAGCGGAGATTTCGAGATTCACAGATCCGGTTGAAATCTCCGATGACAGGAGACCTAAATATACACGTGCGCGGCGATACATGCGTCGCGACCTCGGGTACTGTGCCGCGATACAGATAGCGGGTACACAACTAAGGCGTCAGTTTCTAGGGTGTCTATTTTAACGCGTCGGATGTTCCATCACGATTTCTGCGTCTAGCGCTTCCGCGTCGCTCCCGCGATATATGTCAGACGTAAACTTATCGTGACGCCGTTAAATGGCTGTCGCGCCAAGTACCCAGCAATAGCTTCGCTCCTCGAAGTCTCCGTGTATGTGTGCGTGTAGCGTGATAGCGCTCAAAATTTCTCTCGCAAAGTTCACGCTGACTTAACCGCGGCGGTAACTGCGACGTGACAACTTTTATAACTTGATAGCGGCCAGATAAATCTGAGTTATCATTCATTGTGTGCTTCTTACTTTACACAAAGTTTTTAAAATGTCCTATTCAAATCGCGATACGGTTAACAATTTCTTATTTTGTTGCTCGTAGAGACGATAAAAATATATAATGCACTTTAAATGTAACATATGTTCATTATTACATATGTTCACACAAAAACACAATGCTATAATTCATGTTGTTTCGAGAGTTGTTTCTTCCTCTATTTCTTTATATATTCAGTCTTTATATATAAAAAAAATATGTCTCTATAAATTTTTCATTTTTTATATAAAATATGTAAAAGAATGTCGAAAAGCTATTCGTCGGATTAAACGATGTCTTTGCTAAATCGTTTTTCATTTTACATAGAAAAAGTATAAAATATGTAAGAACGTCGAAAAGCTATTCGTATATCGAATTAATGATTAAACGTCTTTGCTAAATTGTTTTCCGATTTTGTCTTTAGAATAAGCTTGTCTATAGAATCGCATCAATTTTAATCAATATTTATGAAAACTATCCATAATTTATGACCTGCTAGGTATTCATGACATACACCTGCGAGAATGTCGAAGAATTGACGTATCCACGGGAAGAATATCGGACAGAAAAGAGTATCGAATTTCTTAAAGTATATCATCTTGTACATACAACAAACGATTCGCGATTACTGGAGCGAAAAGCCGACCTCTTCTCTGCCTTTCGACCACCTACCGAGGTCCTACATTGCTTTTACTACTTTCAGAACGATGTGTATAATCCGATACGGTACCAGGAGGTCGGTCGTGTAACTCGTGTGCCACGGTACGGTAAGCACAAGGGCTAGATACAGTTCTTCTGGACTACTTGTTGTCTCATAAAATTATCGAATTTTCTTCAGACATTAAGTCCGCGACAACGGTAAGCAAAGGCTTTGACGCAAATTTTAGGCTTGAAGCTCAGTGGTATTAAAATTCGTTCAGGGACGTTGGCGTGACGCTGAAAAATTGTAAGAGAACACGGACTCTTTCGTTTTAAAAAACGCGATGCGCATATAAATTCTTCAACAATTTCATTAAACGTTTGACTTAAAGTATTTACACTTGATACGTAATCTATAATTTTGTTATTACTTGTATTACAATATACAATAAACAATAAAGAAAACGGAACTGTTTATAAGATAAAGGTTTATAAAATTATGAGAAATTTATCAGCAAAATACGCGTCTGTTTCTATTCTGATGATAAAACTCGGATTGCGAAACAACTTTTCTTGCGAAAGTTTCTAGAGTTCACTCTCTCCTTCTTAAAAATATTGTTTTTTTAATGAACGAAACATGCAAACACTTGATACAAATAACAGATATGTTTGCGAAATTGTTTACGTTTCGTTAATCGGCTATATGAAACGCGCGACTGATCAAAACTGCCGATAGCTAAGTCTAAATCGTTTAAAACGTCGTAAAGAAAATCTGATATCTCAAACAGTTTAAATATTCGTCTTATTTTCCATCGTGTTTTTCTTTATATTATGGACTTATCTATCACGTGCAAGTAATCATTTAAAAATATTTCAATTTATGTATTCAATAATTTTTGTCAATATGTGTCGCTTCTTCTACGCGATACGATACTCTTGTTGACGAACTTCGATCGATGATCGAAGTTCGTGAATAACAACAATCCCATTATCTATCACGAAAGCAGCAAGACGCGGACTCGTGAAAATATCTCGGCCGTACATGAGATGTTCCGATTAGCAATAATTAGCGCTGATGAACTTGCGACCCAGTTGCGCTACATTTCCTGTCGCGTCCGTCGCATCGTTATTTTCGGAGACCGCTATCTTTACGCTTACGCCGCGGGATCTGCGTTATGTGTGTATATACCGCGCGCCTGAAAATTATCGTTCGCTCAGATGACGTTTTCCAACGGTAGGAGCGATACGCCACGAACTACTTCACGTCCGAAAATAAATGACAAACGTAATAACGTAAAAATTTATCGTGTATGCGTCGCGCATACGAGGAACATTGCCGCCGCGGATGTATAATATATACTCGTGAAACATTACGGTATACAAGCGCGTTTCGATATAAACACGGTACGAATATGTAAAACATTCCATTCGAGCGGAATCGAAGTAATTCGCTAAAATAATTCTATCAGGAATTCAACTGAAATTCGATTGAACTAAATAATATTCGATTCGTGTGCCGAAATGCAGATATACCTATTTTGCGTGCAGCATGTATGCGTGCGCGTGCAAAAGTATATTTAATTTAGCAAACCAAAATTCGATAAAACTATCTACCACTCATTGTCAGATGGTTAACGGTACGACGATTGTACCGCACGAAGAGAGAAATATCTCCAGGCATATCGTATTTCATTGCCGCGAATAAAAATGCATTCGCTCGCGCATTCATGCAGACATCGAAAATTTAACTGGTCCATTCGGAATTGCTTCTGCCTCGGAATTCTATCGCGGTTACATGGAAATTTTATCGCGAGATATGCCCTTTATATCTTATCTGTCTTCCCTCCCCCACCCCCACCACCCCCCGTCTTCTCTATCTCCGAGATGCGTCTGCACGATGGACGGGGACGGTTAACAGCCACGTTTCGCGCATTAATTAACGCCACACGCGCGAGTAAGCTTGCACGAGCACAATACACGGCCTCCTTCCAAGCGCGGCTTGTCTGCTCACACGCGCGACTTGCGCGACTAAACGTATACGCAACACGATCGCTCTCGTCTGATCGCGCTTTGATCATTTAACACGTAACGTCTGCCAGCCGTCCGCTCCACATCGCGCCGTATCGCGACGTATCGCGATCTTCTGAGATCATCCCGCAATTGCTATTCCGCATTGAATAATTGCGACTTTATGCATTGAAAAAGTCCCCGTGATTTGAACGAATTGACACAGTCGTCTCAGATGCATACATTTTCAAATCAAACATTTGCGGAGTAAATATTAACGGAATATTTCGATTTTATTTATACAGAATTACGTTAAAACATTGGACTCGGTCAGTTACGATTAATAATTGATTGCATCAGCTCGATGTGAATGCTTTTGCGAGCTTTTTCCTTGGCATACATATTATTGATCGTCTCGGACTATTCAATTGATAAAAAAAAAACAGACAATAGAACATTCGGAAAGCGCCGGGGCGAACTTCACGGACGTCTGGCAATTCTCATCTGATAGGTGAGATGTTAAACGGCAGAACGTCACTACTCGCAAAGTTCCACGGAGTGAAACAGTTACGAATCGTCCTGCGCAAAGTAATTAAGAGACGGATTAGTTACGTTGTTCCAATTCCACTCGGGTCACGTACATTAATTATACGGTAAGCAACAACGAGGGGGCGATTAAGCTGCGCGAGTATTACGTCCATAATCGACGTTCCGTAATTCGACTGCCTCCCGTTTAATCGAGTAATTAATCAGCCCGCGCCGCGCCGTGCCGCGCCGGGCTGATCGCGTTCCCACTATATACTCTCCGCGAAACGTGTCGCGCATTCTGCAAAGAGCACGGCG